GTCTAAATGTTCCACAACCTTCTAAAACAGGATGGTTGTCTGGAGACCAGATGTTTGGACTCTGTGCCCACGGGTGACATTTTACATTCAAATCGCAGCTGGTGTCCTAACAGTCATGCTCTCAGGTGACACAGAGCTGGGCAGTGACTGTAGCCTGTGGCAGGAGAGGGTGAACACTACTTCCTGTCCGCTCCCACAGGCTGCTTTTCTGCCTCTTGAGGGACAGGGTTTGAAAAGATCCCCACGGGGGTAGCATGCCAAGTGCTGGAGGCATGGTCTCTGTCCTGCCATACCCCACACCTGGGATACCCGCTCTCGGAGCCATGCTTGGGTATAAATAGTCCACTGCTGTCCCCGCAATGCTTCTGCTGTTAGCTGGTGGGTCAGGAGGAATTCCATGGTCGAGCACTATAGTTGTTCCAGGTTTATCGTAAGGAAGATTAAAAGTTCTAGACCTTTCACTGGATCCATAAAAGCCCTTGTACATGGCGAGGGCTCGCTGGATGTTGATAGGGAAAACCATTCCAGTTTGGTCCCAGTTTGTATTCCAGCAAGAGAAATAACAGTGGAATGCTCTCTCTACTCCTGGGATCCACTGGGAGTGAGTGACAAGAGAGAATGATGGTGTGTCACAGTTCCTAGTATAAATGTTGGCTTAAACTGTGCTGACAGTATCCTAAGGCCTGGACACACCTCTTTCCTGAGGACACAGGTAGGTACCCTAAGTCCCATTGTTGAGGGCTTGGGAATACTGCTTGTGCTGGCGGTCACACTGTAGGGTCCTTCCTTCAGGGGATCCAGTCACCTCTCCCTTTAACCACTGTACCGGGAAACTGACTCAAAGCTGAGAACTGGAAACAGGCATCTCAGTTTTCTAGTGGAAGACATTAGCCATTGCATATCTATCTCACCACACGGGGACGCTGTGATTTCCAAGACACTGCCTATCTTACCACATGGGGATATGGTGGTTTCCAAGACACTACCCGGGATCACTACTGGAAATTGTGTCCCTCGACTTTTGATGTCTACAGTGGTCCCCTGATAATGCTGGGATCCTGTCATCCCCAGCGATAGAGGGGCAGTGTCATAGCCGTACCTTTGGTCATCACTCCTAAGGACACTGTCATGGAGAGGCTAAGGCTACCAAGCCCTCCTCACTGATGCCCTCACTGAAGGTCCATCTCTGGGCCTGCTGAGGCCTATGGTTTATATAGTCAGACAGTAGGCTCTCTCAGGTCCGTCTTTACCTTGCCCCCCCCCCGCCCCCCCAGCCATCGCTTCCTCAGGGTCGTAGGCACGCCCAGCATCGTCCCTTCCTGCAGGCTGCTGTCACGTTTGTGTCCAAGAAACCATTCCATGAGTTTAGGGATCAGAGCCAGCACCAAGGTGACACTCATGGGTCATGGCAGACACCCCACTCCAGTGTCCTCTCCCAGGACACTATGTGCTCTGCCCCTCTAGATTCATTCCACTCTTCCACCATGGTTAGACCCTCCACCATGCTCTCCTGGTAGGAGATGAGGGTCTCTGCAGTCAACATCACAGAAGCGTGTACCACTCAAAGACTGCCCCGAACTCGTCAGTCTCTTCAGAGCTTCCAAACCTGCTAGCCAAGCCAGCCAGCCTTGCCGTCTGTCCAGCTCCCGGTAAACCAAATGAGCTAAGGCACATGCCGACTCCCGCGTGAGGCGATTCTTCAGCGGGTAGAGTGCTTGCTGTGCAAGCCTGATGATCTGGGTTCAGTCCCACAACCTGCAGGAAAGAGGAGGGAGGGAACTGACTCCACAGTTGTCTGATCGCCTTGTGCGTGCTGTGGCACATGCACAACACCACACGTGCTATGTGTTCACACACACACACACACACACACACACACACACACACACACACACACTACACATTGTGCTCAGCTCAATTTCTCTTTTTTTCTTCAGCCAGGGACCCCAGGCCATGGCATAGTGCCTCCCACAATCTGAGTGGGTCTCCCAAACCCAGTTAAAACTTCCTGGAAACTCTCTCACAGACATGCTGCGAAGAGACACCATGACTAAGGCAACTCATAAAAGAAAGCATTTAATTGGGGGCTTGCTTAGAGTTCCAGAGGGTTAAAGTTCATGACCATGGCAGGAGTGTGGCAACAGGTAGGCAGACCTGGTGCTAGAGCAGTAGCTGAGAGCTGACATCTGATCCACAAACAGCTAACTAGGAAGGCTCGGCTTTAGACACCTCAAAGACCACTCATAGTGACACATCTCCTTCAACAAGGCCACACCTTTTCCTAGGGACACACCTCCTCTAAACAAGACCACACCTCACAATCCTTTCTAAACAATTCTACCCGGAGGGCGGTGGCGGTGCACAGCTTTGATCCCAGCACTTGGGAGGCAGAGGCAGGTGGATCTCAGTGCATTAGAGGCCAGCCTGGTCTACAGAGTGAGTTCCAGGACAGCCAGGGCTTACACGGAGAAACCTGGTCTAGAAAAACCAAAGAAGAAAAGAAAAGAAACAATTCTACCATTTGGGGACCAAGCACTCAAATATATGAGGCCATGAGGACCATTCTTATCCAAAATACCACACTTACCCTGGAGGTCCCTCTTGGTGATTCTAAATTCCATTAAGCTGACAGTCAGGGTTACCCTTCTCATGAGGCGATTCCTGGTACCACTTGTCTTAATCTGGGTTCCTCTGAAAACTGAACCTGAAACAAGGGTTTGGGGGCAGGTAGCTTGAGAACCCAGACAAGAGCACAGGAATGAGGGGCAGGAGAAGAAGGGAAGCCCTGTGAATATTTTCTAGCCCAAATTATGGAGGTCAGCCAACCCACCTGCTGCTTAGGACCAGGCTTCTGTAAGTCCTCAGTTAACTCTGCAGTCCTGGGTCCATCCGCCTTTTTCTTCAGGCTCATGGCGCTTGTGACTAGGTCCTATACACCAGGGATGAGCTTTTCCAGAACAAGTGCCCCCTGCTCCATTTCAGCCTCAGTAGCGGTAAAGCACTTGTGGCTACATCATACTATGGTTCAACATGAAGTGCGCAGTGGTCGTAAGAGAAAGTGGTCCTAAGAGAAAGTGGTCCTAAGCCGTCATTGGTGGGGACATTTAGAGTCCAGCAATCCAACTGACAAACAATGGAGCCCTGGACTCCCTAGGCAGCTACCAGGCCACAGGTGATCCAGGACTCCACGTTCTCACATTTGCTTCCAGATGTTTCCACGTGGCTTCCAAAGCTGCCGTAGGCTATGATGCTAGTGAATCCTGGCATTTTGTCCTTTGAAAGCTGAAAGGGGCTTGTGGCAGCTTCTCAGTACTCGGGGATAGTAGGCTGCTGGCTTCTGGTGGCCCTGGCTTCAGGCGGGGGTGGGGGGTTGCGGGGATGGGGGGTGGTCCGTTCCAGTCGCCTCTCGCTACCGTCTTTGTCCACCAGGGCGCAGTGTTCCCCTTTGCCTAACAGCTCCTGAAGTGAACCCCAAGCTGGTTTCCTTGAAACGTTGACTCCTTATTTGACATCACAGCCAGTGAAGGTGTATGTGTGACTCCACACGGTGTAACAGGCATTTCAGAGGGAATGCAGTGGATACTGTGGGCAGTGCCCTGTTTTCCGTTCTTGTGAAAAGGCACTGATTGACTCCACCCACCTCCACCCCCCATTCACTTCAACTCATCAACTGGATTGGGCCCTACAGCTTTAAAAATCTTGATTTAAAGTTCCCGTCCTCTGCTACCCTGGTAGTTATGGCTAAGATGTAGAGTTGGAGCGGACACTTGCCCAGGCCACTCAGAGAGTCAGAGCAGCAGCTAGGAGGGGCCTTCATGGATCTGTTGCTTTGATTGAGACAGGGACTCGTGTAGCCCAGGCTGGCCTCAAATTCTGGATGTAGCCAAGAATCACTCCTCTAGGCAACAATTCTCTGCCACTACATCTCCAGCACCTGATTCATTGGTTTCTGCCGTGTGTGTGTTTTAAGATTTATTTATTTATTATGAATACGGTGTTCTGCCTGCGTGCCAGATCTCATTACGGATGGTTGTGAGCCATCATGTGGTTGCTGGGAATTGAACTCGGGACCTCTGGAAGAGCAGCCAGTGCTCTTAACCACTGAGCCATCTCTCCAGCCCTGCCCTATGCTTTATTCTTAGACTTTTCTGAATGGGTCTTGGTGATCCCAGCGATTTGGCTGTTTAGCTGATGTGTGTAGCATGAATCTTAAAGAGTCTTATTAATAAAAACAAACCCAGAGCCAGGTGTTGGGGTGAATGCTGGAAGATCAAAGAAGCAGACAAGCCACAGCCACCTCACCTTGCCAATTCCTCAGCTGATCCTGTTTCCTCAGATTGGAAGCCTTTGAGTCCTTATCTAAATGGATCTCAGCTGAACTGTGCTGCTAAAAGCCTAAAAGCTTAACCAGGCTAAAAGCTTAACCAGCTCTAGTTCCTGGTCCTCACACCTTATATACCTTTCTGCTTCTGCCATCACTTCTGGGATTAAGGGCGTGAGTCACCATGCCTGGCTGTTTCCAGTATAGCTTTGAACTCACAGAGATCCGGGTGGATCTCTGCCTCCCAAGTGATAGGATTAAAGGCGTGTGTGCCATTTTTCTGGCCTCTGTCTATCTAGTGGCTGTTCTGTCCTCTGACCCCAGATAAGTTTATTAGGACACACAATATATTGGGGGACACAATGTCACCACAGATGTATGTGCCCTTGTCTCCATGCCTCACCAACAGCACAGTGGATATATAGTCTCAGTTCCTAAGCATCTATGGGCTCCAGATTTTGGGAGCAGAGCCAAAGTAGTAGATGGCTTCCTCAATGACTCTGTTAGCCAAGTCACCCTGTGTGCTGGGCTGAGCAGTAACTTGTTTGATACTCCAGAGCCTGATGAAGTCTACTGATATATTATGTGACTTACACAGAAAATCACCAGCCCCTACCCACAGCTCCACTTTCTGAAGTAAAGGTCCACATTGTCACGGGGTCCCTTCCTCTCCCTCCAGAATGTCTCCCGGAGGACATTTGAGCTGGACTACAGCCAGGACCGCTTCCTCAAGGATGGGCTGCCATTCCGATACATCTCAGGAAGCATTCACTATTTCCGGATACCCCGCTTCTACTGGGAGGACCGGCTGCTGAAGATGAAGATGGCTGGGCTGAATGCCATCCAGATGTAAGGAAGGGCCCCTGGCTGAGACCCCCTCCCCATACTCACACCTAGCTTTATTGCTCCAATATCAGTTATTCCATTCCTCAGAAGTAGGAGAGAGCCTTGTGTGGATTTCTGAGGGGCTTGTCACAGGCTTGACTGGCCTTTCTTCAGGTAAAGAACCACTTCTCACTTGAACTTTGGCATCAGAAATCATAAAATAGAAATCAACTTGAAAAGGCAACAGTGGGGGGCAGTGAACGACTCAGTTTGCTGCTGCCAGACTTGACAGCTGGGTTCGATCCTGGGGACCTACATGGTGGAAGAGAAGAACACACGAACACAGACACACACACACACACACACACACACACACACACACACACACACACACACTAAAAGAAGGCAGGATATAGTGAACTCTTGGAACGTACAGGTTACTTTGGACAGAGTGGTTCTACCTGTCTGAGATAGACATCATGTTCCTGTTTATAGCTCATAAAACTTAAATTTCTGCCAAGGTCATTGGTTGTTGGTCCAACGAGGAGCCAAACGTGAGGGAGTTTGGAGGGAGGTGTAGCTGCTGGGGGTGGGGTGGGGGGTGGAGGAGCCTTATGTAGCTGCTTTGGTAGGGGGAACCTTGTGCTTAGGTCTTTGGAATCCAGCTTGCCTTACTGGGTCAACTTTGAGCCTGGGCAGTGGGTTCCCACCCACGGGCAAGTCCGCACCCCCTCTGACACTGTGAGCTGACTAACTGGGAGGGAAGCTGAGGCAGCTGACCACTCTGGTTTCTATAGAGCTGATGTGGATTACTGATAGTGTCTTAAAAGATGAAGGATGAGAAAGCCTTAATTGCGTTAGTAGCTAGCTAGGGGGAGTCCCACTTATTATTCTGTTTCTAGGCCCCTGGCAGAGTGGTAGATACACTGAGTTCTGTAGCCGAGTTTCTATGCGGTCTCATTAAGTAAAAGCACAGAGCCAAATATAGGGGTGAAATTCTAGAACCGTGGGGCTACAGGGATGCAGGTGGACTCACCAACAATGGTTGTGTGCTGAGAATGAATGGGTCACCTGCAAATGTGTGTCTCCACCAGAATTGGGGGAGCTGGTTAAGTTTGGTTCATTTTATTTCCTGGCCCGGTATACCTGACAAAAATCCTTTGTCTTCTTGAAGTGATTGGAGAGTTTCCTGTGGTTCGGTTTCCAGTGCTGAGAGCCGAATTCAGGCTTTGCACATGCTGAGCACCTTACCGCTGGGCTACATAGGTCTCCAGACGGGGTGGTTTTCTTGTGTTGTTTTGTTTGCTTGGTATGGATGTTTTGGATGCATATATAGCTGTTACGTGTGCATGCAGTGCCCACAGAGGCCAGAAGAGGGCGTCAGATCCCCTGGAACTGTAGTTACAGATGGTTGTGGGAGGCCATGTGGGTGGGAACCAAGCCCAGATCCTCTGAAAGAGCAGGGAATGCTCTTAACCATTGAGCCATCTCACCCCCTGCCACCCCCCCCCCCACACACTCTTTTAAAGATAGGATCTCTCTATGTAGCTCAGGATAATCTAGAACTCAAAATCTGCCTCAACTTCCTGAGTACTAAGATTACAACAGGTAAGTACTAACCCACCAAGCCTGACTCTTTTTTAAATTTTTTTTTTCACTTTATTTGCATTGGTGCATTACCTGCACGTATGTCTGTGTGAGGGTCAGATCTTGGAGTTACAGACAATTGTGAGCTGCCATGTGGTTGCTGGGAATTGAACCCAGGTCCTCTGGAAGAGCAGTCAGTGCTCTTAACTGCTGAGCCATCTCTCCAGCCCCAACCTGACTTATTTTTACTTTTATTAAAGTGTTTTTGTTTGTTTGTTTGTTTGTTTTGAGACAGGGTCTCTATGTAGACCTGGCTGTCCTGGAACTTTCTATGATGGCTGGCCTTGAACTCACAGAGATCCACCTGCCTGTGCCTCCTGGGTCCTTGGGATTAAAGGACAGTGCTATTTCTTTGTTTTTCAAGTAGAGTCTCATGTAGCCCAGGATACCCTCAAATTTACTGTGTACCCCAGGCTGGCCTTTAACCCCTTGTTCTTTTGCCTCCGCTTCCCAAATCCACTGTGCTCCACTCAACATTTATTTATACATATATATTCGAGACAGGGTTTCTCCGTGTAGTGTGTATATACATGTGTGTGTATGTATATGTGTATGTGTATATGTATGTGTGTGTATATGTATGTGTATATGTGTATATGTATGTATGTATGTGTATATTTATGTATACATATATATAGACATATACATACACATTTTTTTTTCCGAGACAGGGTTTCTCCATGTAGGTTTTGGAACCTTTCCTGGAGAACTCACTCTGTAGACCAGGCTGGCTTCGAACTCACAGAGATTTGCCTGCCTCTGCCTCCCGAGTGCTGGGATTAAAAGCATATGCCACTACCACCCGGCCTTAACCTTTATGTTTTAAATAAATATATCTCATATTACTTTAGCATAATAATTAGGGTTCATGTATTTGTTTTTCTTGTTGAATTTTCCAGTGTGCTGGAAGATCTTTCTGTCATAGTTTTCTACAGATTGTTCTAGAGGGCTGGGTTGGGGCTCCATGTTAGAGCGTGTGCCTGGCATGCTTGAGGGTTGTGTTCAATCCTGGGGGTGATAAACTAACTAGCCAGGTATAAAATGAATTCAAGGGAGAATCTGATGAAGAGAGGTGTACAGAGCTGGCCAAGAAAGCCACCTGAAATAAATCTGTCTGGGCAGGTAAAGGTGGTAAATGTCATTCATGTCCCTCGGAGCGGTTGTCTCTGTGAAGATCATCGTCTGTAACCCTACCAGATCACCAACCAACAAAAATCTACAAATTAATCTCTATTTTCACGATCTTCCCTGATCACCAGTCAGTAAGCAAAAGAGAATTGAAGAGTCAGGAGTGGTCCCGGACCATCTGCAGCACTGGGCAGAAGGCATGCACCTGCCTCCTTCGAGTCAAGCTATGTGTCTCCCATCCAAGGACTAACCTGGCTTGGCCCTGCTTAGCTTCCAGGATTAGTGTGTTATTGCCACACACTGGGTATTAGTTCTCAACAACACTCCCACTCCTCTTTTAAAAAGGTTTTTCTTTATTACACCTTATTTACTCTGTGTGTGTGTGTGTGTGTGTGTGTGTGTGTGTGTGTGTGTGTACCTGTGCAAGTGTGTGCTGCAGCATGCATATGGAAGACAGGATAAAGTGTAGAAGCTGACACTCTCCTTACACCATGCAGGTTCCAGGATTGAACTCCTGGGGTCAGGCTTGGCGGCAACGCCTTTACCCGTGAGCCTTTGCACTGGCCGGTGTTCCACCCTTGGCCTGTGTTTTCAAGTGGTCTTAGAGCCTGAGCTCCCTTCTCTTCCCTCCCACTCACCTACTGTCTGTGAGGATTTTGGCTGTGTGTGTCTTCATAGGTATGTGCCCTGGAACTTTCATGAACCCCAGCCAGGACAGTATGAGTTTTCCGGGGACCATGATGTGGAGTATTTCATTCACCTGGCTCACGAGCTGGGGCTCCTGGTGATCCTGAGGCCTGGGCCCTACATCTGTGCAGAGTGGGACATGGTGAGTGTGTTAACACAGGCCTCTGGTGCCTGGTGGGTGTGAGTTGAGGCAGGAGTGGTGGACAGCGATGGGTGTGGTGTCTGGGCAAAGCAGCCTAAAGCGATCTACGACTCAAAGTATGTGGTGCTGTGCCTCCACCGGTGTCTGTTTCTTTATCGAGGAGCCGGGCAGAGAGGAGCAGGCTTGAGCCAGAGCACCGGGGCTTCCTCTTGGCCATTCACATATGCACAAAGGCACACAGCAATCCGAACCACAGCAAGAATACTAAAGTAGAAGGAAAGAAGGGGGGGGGGAGAAAGAGGCTGGAGAGATGGCTCAGCAGGTAAGAGCACTATCTACTCTTCCAGAGGACCTGGGTTCGATTCCCAGCACCCACATGGTGACTCACAACCATCTGATTCTCATTCCAAGGGATATAACGCCCTCTTCTGGCTTCTGAGGGCACTGCATGCACATGGTACACAGACACACAGGCAGAACACCCATACACATAAAAAGTGAATAAATAAATACATTTTTTTTTTTGGTTTTTCGAGACAGGGTTTCTCTGTGTAGCTTTGCGCCTTTCCTGGGACTCACTTAGTAGCCCAGGTTGGCCTCGAACTCACAGAGATCCGCCTGGCTCTGCCTCCCGAGTGCTGGGATTAAAGGCGTGCGCCACCACCGCCCGGCTAAAATAAATACATTTTTAAAGAGGGAGAGAAGGGGGAGTTTTGGTGGGTGTGGTGGTCATGCCTGTAACAAGCCCTTAAGAGGTGAAGGCTGGAAGATCAAAACTCTCGATGCCAGCCTGTGCCATATAGGGGTTCCAGCTTGAGGCTTAGCTACATAGCGAGATTATCTCAAAACTAAAGGGGGGTGGGTGTTGATTCTCAGAACACGACCAATAGAGTGATCTTAATTTTCCTGTCTTCCAGAAGCCGAGGTCACTTTCCCGTCTCTTTCCCTCCTTGCTGACAAGACTCTCTCATCTGTTTTCATGAAGTGGACAGGGTAACAGCTGCTGTTTTCTCTCTTGTAGGGAGGCTTGCCCGCTTGGCTACTAGAGAAAGAATCTATTGTTCTTCGATCTTCTGACCCAGGTGAGTTACTGACGCCCTTAAAGGATTCTAGCAGATTGGGCAGTTTATATCATTTGAAGATAGGGCTCCTGTGTGTAAATACTGGTCAGTGGGGTGTCGGTCACCCCTCACCGGAAGGGATGGTCAGCATTCAGGAGACACTGCTTCTCATGGGCTTGAACGGATCTCTCTGATAAGTGGGTCACTCTGCATTCACAACCTGGTTAGCCAAGTTTTCTCTTCCTACACACTGAGTCAGTGACACAGCCGGCTAGTCAGAAGGGCAGGCCTGGTTCTGCAGTGACGTCACTCGGTTTCCTGGAGCCGCGTGTCTTCTGTGTCTTGGCATTTTTGGAATGATTTGTAAATGACAGCTTTTTGTCTTATCTTTTTAAACCACAAGAGATTGTTTCAGCTGTAAAACCCTAAACAGTCATTCAGTTGCATCTGTGTGTGTGTGTGTGTGTGTGTGTGTGTGTGTGTGTGTGTGTGTGTGTGTGTTTCCCTCATACCATATGAGCTTCTCTTTCCTACTCTGGCCATATTATTCTTGTTCTCACATGTGTTGTCTCCTGAGTCCTCATGACACCTTTATGAAGCATGTGCTTTTGTCTGTCTCTTGAGTTTGTAAATATATGGTTTATTAGATGTTAATTTTTTCTGGATGTAGAGGCACACACAAGTGTAATCCTAACACTTGGAAAGTGGAGGTAGGAAAATCAGGATTTCAAGGTCATCCTCAGCTACATATCAGGTTTTAGTCTAGCCTGAGCTATATGGGACCTTGTCTCAAAAAAAAAAAAAAAACCTTTAACTTATTTATTTGTTTTGTTTTTGAGACAGGGTTTCTCTGTGTAGCCCTGGATGTTCTGGAACTCACTCTGTAGACCAGGCTGGCCTTGAACTCAGAGATCCTCCTGCCTCTACCTCCCAAATGCTGGGTCATATATCACCATGCCTTTTTTTAAGAAATGTATATGGGTGTATATATGTTTATGCCCTGTCAGAAGAGGGTGTTGGATGCTCTGGAACTGGAGTTAAAGACAGGCAATATGTGGGTGCTGGGGGTTCAGCCTTACACTCTCTATAGTTGTGGATGATCCTGAAGTTCTCATCCTCCTGCCTCCCAAGTGTTGGGATTACAGGTGTGTGCTTCCATTCCCGGTATACGCAGTGCTGGGGACCGGAAGCCAGGGCCCGGTGCATGCTAGGCAGGTACTCCACCAACTGAGCCGCATCCTCCACCCCACCGTGACTGAGAGAGCTTGCTCTTCAGCACCTCTCTGTGCCTCTCGTACCTTGCCTGGTAGGCCTGGCTTCTGGCTTTGAGCCCTACAGTGCAGGGTAAGTTCCCAGGTGAACTTGGATAGCAGGACTCCTAGCTTGTAGGACCATGTCCAGCTGACTGCGGCTGCCTCATTTTCCAAGAGAGCTGCTGAAGGCACGGGATGCACTGGTATCTCCTGGCTTTAAAAGTCAGCCAAGATAGCTTAGCTGACTT